CTCCCTCCCATCCCCCAAGTAAACAGGCTTCCTCGAATGCTGCCAGCGAACACACGCTAGCAGTTGTTTATTCTCCGTCTAATCGTCTTCCTGGAAAATCTATTAGGAAGCAGTTTGTTAGTGTTAGATCAGATCGTTTGTTTTAGTCTGGACCAAACAAAGACACATTAGTTGTCAAGCAACCTGGAGGGATGAAGGCTGGAGGGAAAAAACCAACAACCTTCTGAGGTGAATGACACACGGTATCTGGACAGGAAGTCTGTCACAGAACACTGGGTTATAATACACACAAGCAACTAAAGGTCAAAGGTCAACTCTGAAATAGATACTAAAACATTTCACCCTAATGTTAAGACAATATTTAAATCCATGATCATAAAAGTCTTTCAGCCAAGGCCTTGACCATAACCTGGATCAAAAACATTCCAGGCTCCATTTGAACCAAATCAAAGTCACAATAAAAAGTTCCACTTACGTCTTCCAGCTGTTCAGTGAAACTCCCCGACCAAACCATCGTAAACTGTGACTCAAACCATTCACATTTCACCTCCGCCGTCTGGACAGATTCAGTCGTCGAGGTTACTCTGAACGTCCAACCAATCACAACCACGACGGAGCGGCCACGTGGCTGAATGGGCTGAACAGAAGTCAACTGGTCGTGAAGTGAAGTGGAGAGTGTGGAAACACAAAGTGAAACTACTGCCCCCTGTGGCTGTTTCTGTACATGTTTTTACAGTAGGTTCCAAATAAGAACATTACATTTGAGGCAGTTTTTGAAGCCAGGTTAAAAGAGTTCACAGTCTGACCTTGAAGGTTAGCATGAGCTAGAGAGCACGCTAAGGTCTTTGTGGCTAATGCTAAAACAAAGCTGAGCTTAAAGATCCTGCTATAAATTCTACTCCAAACAGTCAAAGTTTTAGGTAGTGGAAAAATGGTCATCAGTCGACTGAGTAAAAAGAAATGTGTTGCTGAGCTTAAAGATCCTGCTATAAATTCTACTCCAAACAGTCAAAGAGAGGTTCTGCCACCTAGTGTTCATGCAAAATTCCAATTGAATATGCAGAAAAGGTCCTGGGCACAACTAGCACACATCTAGAGTAGCAGGCTAGCTAGTTGTAGCATAGCATATCTGCCGGACCTGGAGCAGGTGTCCTGAAACTTTACATCCTGAGATCGATTTGTTTCTTGTAAATATATTCCAGGGTAATTGTTGTGAATTCTGCCCTGGGTGTCACCCCTCCCCCTCCCGCCCTGCTGCCATTGGCTCCGCCTCCTCTACTTCCTCTCACGTCTTCCTCTCTGTCCGACAGGTGGGTGTGCGGGGGGTAAACCCATGTGTCTGATGTTTGAGTACATGGCCCACGGCGACCTCAACGAGTTCCTGCGCCGTCGCTCCCCCGCTCAGTCTGTTCACACGCTGAGCTCGGCCAGCCTATCAGGGCGCAGCTTCACCTCCGAGGCCGAGGCCGCGCCTCTCTCCTGTACTCAGATGTTGTCCGTGTCCAAGCAGATCGCCGCTGGAATGGCCTACCTGTCGGAACGCAAATTCGTCCACCGTGACCTCGCCACCAGAAACTGCCTGGTGGGAGAAGAGATGGTGGTGAAGATCGCAGACTTCGGCCTCTCCAGGAACATCTATTCGGCCGACTACTACAAAGCCAACGAGAACGACGCCATCCCAATCCGCTGGATGCCTCCGGAGTCCATCTTCTACAACCGCTACACCTCCGAGTCGGACGTGTGGGCGTACGGCGTGGTGCTGTGGGAGATCTTTTCCCACGGGATGCAGCCGTACTACGGCATGGGTCACGAGGAAGTGATCTACTACGTGAGGGACGGTCACATCCTGTCCTGTCCCGACAACTGTCCTCTGGAGCTGTACAACCTGATGAGGCTGTGCTGGAGCGGCCAGCCGTCGGAGCGGCCCAGCTTCAGCAGCATACACCGCATACTGGAGCGGATGCATCAGAACACAGAGAGAGTGGACACTGGGCCAGAGGTCAGCTGCTGAGGTCAGCCGCCGAGGTCAGCCGCCGAGGTCAGCCGCCGAGGTCGAAGCCTACAGTATTGTGGTTTTTTCAGGTATTTTATGATGACTTTTTTTATACGTATACATTTTAAAAGGTTTGTTTTTAATTGCTGTGCTAATGTTAGCGTCCTAGCCTGTGGCTGTAGCTACTGTATCTTCTGCTGTCCTTTGAGCTCCTCCTTCATCTCTTTGAAGTCTTTTTGACCTCATCAATGTCACAGTTTTGGGGATTTTCCCTCCGACTCTTGTCCCTTCATTTTCAGTCGACTGTTTTAATGAGAGAAAACCAAACCTCATTCTGATGACATCACTTCCTCTTTTTTTCTTTTTCCTCTCATGGTGTTACATGGTGTTACATGGTGTTACATGGTGTTACATGGTGTTACATGGACCTGATTCCACAACAGCACACACTCACTTTAGAACATGTTTGTCTGTGTTTTATTCTATTCCAGTTTTGGACATTGTTGAAATAGAAAAACTTTATATTTTTTATTTTATTATTTTCTGATGTTTATCCTAAAGATTATACATTAATACACATTCAAGTCAAATACATTTGTTCTCCCACAAAACCTTCTTTCCAATCTGGACCTGAAAAACGTCCCCATGAGGTCAAAAGGTCCCCACAAGTACACCTAGACCACACACACACACACACACACACACCGTCCAGAGGTCAAGAGGTCAAACATTCAGGCAGTCAAACACGTCCAGCTGCTCTGACACTGTAACATTAATCATTTCAGTGATTCTGTTCCAGTTGTTGACAAACTAAGGCTCCCGGCCCCTCGATGGTCCAAATAAACCAGCATTCATTCAAACTTTTCTCAGTTTCTTTTATTGTTGCTGGAACGTCCAGTGTCAAAGCTGTGGCTGGACATCCAGTCGTGGACCGTAGTTTGTGTCACTGACGTACGACTGGTACAAAGTCATGTTTCAAATGCTACCCACCGTTAGCATGAACAACAAATGAACTGTGTTCCACGTTTTTTCCACTTTTACAACAAAGACGGTAAAAAAAGTTTTATTTGTTTTCTGATCAACGCGTGTATATTTACTGTAAGGCAAACGTAGGCTAATACTGTTAGCGACACACGCATGCGAAAGATGATCCAAACACCAACTGGACATTTGCGTGCACTGCCTCCTAGTGGTTGAATGTCAAACTGATTCTTCCGAGTTTTTCCAACGAACGCGTTATTATTGAAAGTAAGAATATTTATACTTTAAAAACATCATTTCGGGCGTGGTCATTGACGTTCAACCTCAGGGGGGCAGTATTTCACCTTAAGAAGACACTGCACACGTATATAGATACTTACTTCTGGGTGTGGGTGACAAATACAGTATGTTAATGACACTGCAGTACATGTAGTAATAATAGAAGAAGCCGACACATGGTACAAAGACGAACCAATACTACAGTACACAGTATACATCTGGGTACCAGAGTATGATGTGGTACATTTACAAACACACACACACACAACACACACTTCCCTTCATTGATTAACGTTGACTATATATTTATACACAAACATACTGTACATACACGGTCGACAGAGAGTGAGTCACTGGTAACCAGGTAGAAAAACACTAGTTTAACCTGAAGACGACCAGTCCGTCCGAAACCTCTGAAACCAGCGCCACCTCTGGTACCGTTACACTCAGGAGCAACCAGATAAAGTGGTCAACCGTTTTACAGACTGGTTTCCGACCGACACAGACTGAGCGCCTCGGTCCAACAGGACGTGTCTGTCAAAGGTCAACTCTCCCTCAACTCCTGATGTCAGTTATTTTTCTAGACATTTCCGTTCTGTGGTTCTCTGGCAGTGATGTGATTGGTCAGTGTTTATGATTGACAGCTGGCCTCATATTCAACTGTTATTGACTTCAAACCTGGACCGTGTCGTCAGAGTCGAGTTCAACAGAACTGAAACCAGTGCCGTTATAAAGTACTCTCTGTCTGTGTACTTTAAATGTGGATAAACGTGTGTTTTTCTTTGTGAGGAACGGCTCGGTGTTAAGTCTTGGGTTCAAATCCCTGACACACATCTTGGGTCCTGGAGATCATATGGGCTGTACTTCTGGCTTTGATTCTGACTTTCTGGGCTGTCAGCTGTTGGGAGTTTTAGTCTGTGTACTCTGTGTACTCTGTGTACTCCGGCCAAAAACTGTGTGTGTGTGTGATTTTTCCAAGTACAACAAAAAAATCCCAGCTGGCAGTTTTGAACACAGCACGTCACTGTACTTACACTTGGCAGTAAATCACAAGCTCACGCACGGCCAACATCAGGGGGCGCACTGACTCAACTC